TACATAGATTCAAATTGATGGAATGTTTGGCCAAATTGGTTTCTGCTTTTTTTTTAAACGATGAATTTTAATGACCTACCACTCGGGAGTTCGGACCAAATCTCGTTATTCGATTTCACGAGATCACTCGTAGATACTTTAGTTTCACCCCGCTTGAGTTGTCTTCCCTTGTATTTGATAGCATTTGTTACTTCCCCTTATGTTGACTACGTTAACTTTTATGAACGAAACCTAATCAAGCCGCTGTTTGATTCTATAAAAACCAAACATTCCCTGGCCACGTTAGTATCGATCTCTGATGATCGGTTATCGATTTGATCAACACGGCAGGGGTACACCGGGACGGTACTGATAAAAAGGTGAGAAAAGCGACACCCTTCACCCTCGTTCCCTTCCCCTCCCCCACCCACCCAACAAAACTAAACCAGCGACTGATTGGGTTATTGATCTAGCACGTGGACTAACGACGATCGATCAGGTTTGATTGGGATAATGTCAATATTTAATGAGATGCGTGCATCGGGGACATAACTCCGAACAATCACGTCAGGAGTAGATAACTCAGCTTGGTAAATATTTACAGCAGATCTAACAGCGCGCTTCGGTTTATGGGGGAAATAAAATGACTAAAATAGTCGTTATCGAGCAAAAAAGGCTAAAATAGTCGCTATCCAGAAAAAATGACTAAAAAAGACGCTTTTCTGTGTAAATTAATCGAAACTATAACGTCGCCATTTTTCAATATTAAATTGGCTAAATCAGTAGTTCTAGAGTATTTTAATTATAACATAAAATATCGATGTTGTTTAATTATATTATTCTTTAAAATATCGCATTATTTAAAACCCTGTAAAATCTATATAGAGCCTCTTGAAACACATTTTAAAATAGGACACTATCACTTATTCAAGTAACTCACAAACGTCAAGTAATTAATCTTAGCTAATTAGTTATCATTAGCTAACATTAAAGGGTTCCTATTGTCGATCAAGCAGTAAGACACGTTGTGTGTTAAATTCTCTGTCAAATGGCCACAACATATACACAACATATACACAACATACACACAACATATACACATCATATACACAACATATACACAACATATACACAACATATACACAACATATACACAACATATACACAACATATACACAACATATACACAACATATACACAACATATACACAACATATACACAACATATACACAAAGTATACACAATTTGCCGCATGAAGGAAGCGTTAGTTTAGTTAATTGCCTTAAAACTTTAACCCCAATTTGCAGCTTCAAAACTAGAGAATTCTCTTCTCCACTCTCTGTGCATTTCTCACCGTATCCATTCTTCATCCAACAATCTTCATTCTTCCACTTTATCCACCTCTCTCGTCTCTCCCCCCACCACACTCCATCCACTTCTCCCCCCACCACACTCAATCCACTTCTCCCCCCACCACACTCCCTCCACTTCTCCCCCCCCCTACCACACTCCATCCACTTCTCCCCCCCACCACACTCCATCCACTTCTCCCCCCACCACATTCCATCCACTTCTCCCCCCACCACTACACTCCATCCACTTCTCCCCCCACCACACTCCATCCACTTCTCCCCCTACCACACTCCATCCACTTCTCCCCCCACCACACTCCATCCACTTCTCCCCCTACCACACTCCATCCACTTCTCCCCCCACCACACTCTATCCACTTCTCCCCCCACCACACTCCATCCACTTCTCCCCCCACCACACTCCATCCACTCTCCCCCCACCACACTCCATCCAGTTCTCCCCCCACCACACTCCATCCACTTCTCCCCCCACCACACTCCATCCACTCCCCCCACCACACTCCATCCAGTTCTCCCCCCACCACTCCATCCAGTTCTCCCCCCACAACACTCCATCCACTTCTCCCCCTACCACACTCCATCCACTTCTCCTCCACCACACTCCCACCACCTCTATCCACCACACTCCATCCACTCCCCCCACCACACTCCATCCACTTCTCCCTCCACCACACTCCATCCACTTCTCCCTCCACCACCATCCACTTCCTCCCCCAACACACTCCATCCACTCCCCCCCCCCTGCACCACTAGCTGTCTCTGTAGTTTCCAGGAAGTGGCTGGATTATAACTATCGGCTGTCGCTTAATGGCTGCCACAAGTGTAAATAATTGCCTGGATGGAAATTCGGGTCCCTGGGGAGGCGGTGACTTCAGGGCTGTTCATTGAAAAATAAAAATATAACCGTATTTTGAGGGATGGGTGGGGGACGGGGGGGGGAGGGAGGCTGTTCATTGAAAAATAAAGATATAACGGTATTTTGAGCTGTGTATGGGGGGGGGGGGGGAGGCGGTGACATCAGGGCTGTCCATTGAAAAATAAAAATATAACGGTATTTTGAGCTGTGTATGGGGGGGGGTAAGGTGGTTGTGGGTTTGTGTGTGTGCGTGTGTATGATGTGATTGAGAATACGATGAGTATAAAAGGACAGCGAGGTATTTAAAAGATTTGTTGTTAAACCATATTGTTAACACTTAGGAACGACTGATCAACGGGCTGTTTTTTTTGTGTGCTGGACATGACCGCTGATCAGCTGTCGCCCGCTGTTCATCAACAGTCGCCTGCTGTTCCTATAACTGATAGGGGTACTCGACCGTTCGGAGACCGCTTTTGGCGCGCAGCACATCGTTCATTCATGTCACATGACACGACCTCGATCTGAACTCCCGCTTGTCTGTGTGACGTCAGCTGACGCTCGTCCATTGGAGAGTTCCGCTTTGATCCATGTGGAACAAAGGGTTCTAGTCTTTGATTTATCAAGTCTCCTCTTTGTAATTCAACCAATGGGAAGTCGAGATGGGCTGGATGATAATATGCTTTCAATACTTGAGCCGAAATACAGTAGAAATTGTATTTATAGAATGGATGATCACTTTTCTCACGTGTTGCGCTTATCAGAGATATGCTGTAATCTGAATAACATTTTAAACGGCGCATTGTTGTCAAAGCCTTCTTTTTCATTATCCTCTTGTTTCATGATGATCATTATCTAGCTGTTTTATGAGGATCATTATCTAGCTGTTTCATGATGATCATTATCTAGCTGTATCAAGATGATCATTATCTAGCTGTTTCATGATGATCATTATCTAGCTGTTTCATGATGATCATTATCTAGCTGTTTCATGATGATCATTATCTAGCTGTTTCATGATGATCATTATCTAGCTTTTTCATGATGATCATTATCTAGCTGCTTCATGATGATCATTATCTAGCTGTTTCACGATGATCATTATCTAGCTGTTTCATGATGATCATTATATAGCTGTTTCATGATGATCATTATCTAGCTGTTACATGATGATCATTATCTAGCTGTTTCATGATGATCATTATCTAGCTGTTTCATGATGATCATTATCTAGCTGAATCACGTGGATCATTACTTAGCTTACTGTTTCGGTATGACAATTGGCCATGGTCAACTACGGACATTGATACAAAAAATTACCACAGGCTAAACACCATGTCTCTAAACACCATGTCTCTAAACACCATGTCTCTAAATGCCATGTCTCTAAACACCATGTCTCTAAACACCATGTCTCTAAATGCCATGTCTCTAAACACCATGCCCCTAAATGCCATGTCTCTAAACACCATGTCTCTAAATGCCATGTCTCTAAACACCATGTCTCTAAACACCATGTCTCTAAATGCCATGTCTCTAAACACCATGTCTCTAAATGCCATGTCTCTAAACACCATGTCTCTAAATGCCATGTCTCTAAATGCCATGTCTCTAAACACCATGTCTCTAAATGCCATTTCTCTAAATGCCATTCTTCTCTATATACCATGTCTCTAAATGCCATTCCTCTCTATATACCATGTCTCCAAATGCCATTCAGGCTAAAACACCATCATCATCATGACAGATGACGGTCAACGATAAATAATGAATGACGTCACGAGCAGATAATCGAGTGCACGTCGGTCGTGTCTGCCTCTATCGAGTTATCTGCTCATGGACGTTTATAAAATAATATCGTATTCAAGGCCACTGAAATACGGACACATGATACACGCTTGTAAATCCATTTGTTGATCGAAATTTTAAACGCGATCCAGCAATTATTGAATCGATAATTTAGCTGTGTGGACGAAATGTTTAGACAATAGTCATAGAGACCTGGCTCACAGACAATAGATTTCTTGTGGCTCCTAAAGATGAAAGACACACTAAAAATACACAAATGATTAAATAGATAATGTTACAGTCCCACCGAAATACACACATTTGCTACCAAATACACATTATTAAATAGATATTGTAACTGGCCAGCCAAAAGACACCAAATTAACGAATAGATAATGTTACGTCAAACCAAAAAACACAAATAAGTGAACAGATAACCTTGCTGCCCCACCAAACTCTGGCTGTTGTTGAAATTTTTGTGGAGCTTGAAAGCTCCTCGGATTAGGTTTCCGTGACATGCAATTATCGTTACGAGAAAATGGACGATGTTTCATTAATGTAGAACCCCTTCAGTTAAAACATCGGGAAAAAAATAACAAGCAGTTTGATTAGTTATGCCATCACGTGACCGGAGCAATGAAATAAGAGTTATGGTGGCTTGTAGCAGGCTGACATGCCTGGTCAATCGATTGCTTAGGCCGGCTTGGGGTGATTTCCTTGTTTTGTTTTCTTGCCTGAGGGTTCCAAAATACTGGCTGGAATTTGGCACAAAGGGGAAATATCCAATATAGGTTAGGTATATCAATTATGGATTTGTCAACTTATTTGCAGTAAATTTAGCTCATTTTGAATTAAACATTTTCTCAAGTTTACAGATTTTCCAGGGAATTAAGCACATTTCCCTTCTAGTTGAATGTTAGTGTTAAATGTTAGTGTTAACGCCTCTAGTTGAATGTTAGTGTTACATGTTAGTGTCAGACTTAACGCCTCTATTCTCTCTCTGCAGATGCTGTAGAGAACAAGATGGAGAGCTGATACCTGTCCAGGTGGACGAAGCAGACACCGCTAGAAGAACTAGTTTGAGCTGACCACTGGTCATCTTGACGATGTTGCCTGCACTCACCGCCCCGTGGGCCACGCTCATGCGGCTCTGCCGGCAGATGGCGCTTCTCGTGCTCTGCGTCACCGCAGTCCTTGAGATGTCGGACGCCGCTGGCAGCCAGGAACCGAAGGGGAACTTCACGGAACCAGAGAACAACACATGCAGTCGTGAGGCGTCCCCGTGTAAGGAGGGACTACTGGTGCCAATGTGGCTACCCCAGGGCAACCTGGCCGTGGGGGATGTGGCGGCCAGGGCGACGGTGTACATGGTCGTGCTCATCTACCTGTTCCTGGGGGTCTCCATCATCGCGGACAGGTTCATGGCCGCCATAGAGGTCATCACCTCCAAAGAAAAGGAAGTCGTGATTAAAAAAAACGACGGGACCAAGCAGATCGTCAACGTTAGAATATGGAACGAAACGGTTTCGAACCTAACTCTTATGGCACTGGGTTCTTCCGCGCCAGAAATTCTGCTGTCCATCATTGAAGTCTGCGGCAACGAGTTCAACGCCGGCGAGCTTGGACCTGGCACTATCGTTGGCAGCGCGGCCTTCAACCTCTTCATTATCATCGCCATTTGTGTCTATGTCATCCCCAGAGGGGAAGTCCGAAAAATCAAACACCTGCGCGTTTTCTTTATCACTGCAACATGGAGTATATTCGCTTACCTGTGGCTGTACTTTATCCTGGCTATATCCTCCCACGGCATCGTGGAGATCTGGGAGGCCGTGCTGACGTTTATCTTCTTCCCCCTCACCGTCCTGACGGCGTACATCGCGGATACCAAGATCTTCGTCAACCGATTCCTCTCCAAGAAGTACACCGCCACCAAAACCAGCAAGACGGCCATCACCAACACCGTCAACCCCCATGACATGGAGACCGGCGTTGACGGAAAACCGGAAGACTTTACCGGACTACTCACGGGGGGCGAGTCGGTGAGAGAGTTTGAAGCGCACCGGCATGATTTTATCGAGATCCTGCGCCAGCTGAGGAAGAAGAACCCGCATCTGGATATGAAGACTTTAGAGGAGATGGCCGAGTATGAGGCGGTCAATAAAGGGCCTAAGTCAAGAGCCTTTTATCGAATCCAGGCTACTAGGCTACTCACAGGCGGGGGGAACGTCATAAAAAAAGCCAAAAAAGAAAAATCAACCGTCGCACCTGCGTCACCTTCCGGTGAAATTGAGGACAACGTGGCGAAGGTGTTTTTTGACCCGGGTCACTACACAGTCATGGAGAACGTGGGTCACTTCAATGTTACGGTGACAAGGGAAGGCGGGGACATGTCAAGGGCGGTTCACGTGGATTACCGTACAGAAGATGGCACGGCTTCCGATGGGGCTGACTACATCGGGGTCAGCGGCACGTTGGTCTTCCAGCCCCAGGAGAAACACCGGCAGTTTGAGATCGTCATCCTGGACGATGACGTGTTCGAGGAGGACGAGCACTTCTACGTGCACCTGTCCAACCCCAGGATCACAGGGCCGCGTGAGGGCGAGTACCTGAGCGGCCCGGACAACATCGTGCTGGTGACGCCCTTCACCGCCACGGTCATGATACTGGACGACGACCACCCGGGCGTCTTCCACTTCGAGGTGCCCGAGATGACGGTCAGCGAGAGCGTCGGGGAAGTGGAGGTCAAGGTCATCCGCTCGTCCGGGGCGCGTGGCCGGGTTCGGGTTCCGTATTTTACAGTGGACGGGACGGCGACAACAGGCAAAGACTACACGGTGGTGGGGCAGGAGCTCGTCTTTGATAACGACATCGCTGAGTGAGTACATGTTGTCGTATGTAGTAGAGTGAGTAGATGTTGACGTGTTTAGTAGAGTGGGTAGATGTTGTCGTGTTTGTTTAGTAGAGTGGGTAGATGATGTCGTGTTTGTTTAGTAGAGTGGGTAGATGTTGTCGTGTTTGTTTAGTAGAGTGGGTAGATGTTGTCGTGTTTGTTTAGTAGAGTGGGTAGATGATGTCGTGTTTGTTTAGTGGATTGGGTAGGTTTTTTTGTGTTTAGTAGAGTGGGTAGATGTTGTCGTGTTTGTTTAGTGGATTGGGTAGGTTTTGTTGTGTTTAGTAGAGTGGGTAGGTTTTGTTGTGTTTATTTAATTTGGTGAGTTGTGTTTACATTAACCACACCGGTACAAACATATCACTACATTAACTTGGGACTGTATTTCTCTCATCGTCTTTGTTATTTTTTTTTATTTTACTTGAACGGTGTATTATTTTTTACACTTGATTTCCAATCCAACTTTGAAATGTAATTTCAACGCTCATTTTGAGAACTGATCAAAACTTTATTTTATGAGATACGAAGTTCCTAATGTGTGGTGAGGGACCCAGACCTACATAAAGGTCATGAGATACAAAGGTTCCCAGTATGTGGTGAGGGACCCAGACCTACATAAAGGTCATGAGATACGAAGTTCCTAATGTGTGGTGAGGGACCCAGACCTACATAAAGGTCATGAGAAACAAAGGTTCCCAGTTTATGTCGCTGGGTACCCCCAGAGCTAACCAAAGTAGAAAGTTTCGTTTGACGAACGAAATACTAGGGGCAGGGACGGCTATTATGCATGCGATAATAGAAATCGATAGCTGAGAAAGAGTTGAGAAGACAATATGCTGGTACAGAATAAATAGTGCTGGTATATAGAGGTAGCTGTAATACATAGCTGGTAGAGGGGAACACGGCTGTAATACATAGCTGGTAGAGGGGAACACGGCTGTAATTAATAGCTGGTAGAGGGGAACACGGCTGTAATACATAGCTGGTAGAAGGGAACACGGCTGTAATAGATAGCTGGTAGAGGGGAACACGGCTGTAATACATAGCTGGTAGAGGGGAACACGGCTGTAATAGATAGCTGGTAGAAGGGAACACGGCTGTAATAGATAGCTGGTAGAGGGGAACACGGCTGTAATAGATAGCTGGTAGAAGGGAACACGGCTGTAATAGATAGCTGGGAGAGGGGAACACGGCTGTAATACATAGCTGGTAGAAGGGAACACGGCTGTAATAGATAGCTGGGAGAGGGGAACACGGCTGTAATACATAGCTGGTAGAGGGGAACACGGCTGTAATAGATAGCTGGTAGAGGGGAACACGGCTGTAATTAATAGCTGGTAGAGGGGAACACGGCTGTAATAGATAGCTGTAGAGGGGAACACGGCTGTAATACATAGCTGGTAGAGGGGAACACGGCTGTAATACATAGCTGGTAGAGGGGAACACGGCTGTAATAGATAGCTGGTAGAGGGGAACACGGCTGTAATACATAGCTGGTAGAGGGGAACACGGCTGTAATACATAGCTGGGAGAGGGGAACACGGCTGTAATTCATAGCTGGTAGAGGGGAACACGGCTGTAATACATAGCTGGTAGAGGGGAACACGGCTGTAATACATAGCTGGTAGAGGGGAACACGGCTGTAATACATAGCTGGTAGAGGGGAACACGGCTGTAATAGATAGCTGGTAGAGGGGAACACGGCTGTAATACATAGCTGGTAGAGGGGAACACGGCTGTAATTAATAGCTGGTAGAGGGGAACACGGCTGTAATACATAGCTGGTAGAGGGGAACACGGCTGTAACACATAGCTGGTAGAGGGGAACACGGCTGTAATAGATAGCTGGTAGAGGGGAACACGGCTGTAATTCATAGCTGGTAGAGGGGAACACGGCTGTAATACATAGCTGGGAGAGGGGAACACGGCTGTAATACATAGCTGGTAGAGGGGAACACGGCTGTAATACATAGCTGGTAGAGGGGAACACGGCTGTAATACATAGCTGGTAGAGGGGAACACGGCTGTAATACATAGCTGGTAGAGGGGAACACGGCTGTAATACATAGCTGGGAGAGGGGAACACGGCTGTAATAGATAGCTGGTAGAGGGGAACACGGCTGTAATTAATAGCTGGTAGAGGGGAACACGGCTGTAATACATAGCTGGTAGAAGGGAACACGGCTGTAATAGATAGCTGGGAGAGGGGAACACGGCTGTAATACATAGCTGGTAGAGGGGAACACGGCTGTAACACATAGCTGGTAGAGGGGAACACGGCTGTAATAGATAGCTGGTAGAGGGGAACACGGCTGTAATAGATAGCTGGGAGAGGGGAACACGGCTGTAATACATAGCTGGTAGAGGGGAACACGGCTGTAATACATAGCTGGTAGAGGGGAACACGGCTGTAATAGATAGCTGGTAGAGGGGAACACGGCTGTAATACATAGCTGGGAGAGGGGAACACGGCTGTAATAGATAGCTGGTAGAGGGGAACACGGCTGTAATTCATAGCTGGTAGAGGGGAACACGGCTGTAATACATAGCTGGTAGAGGGGAACACGGCTGTAATAGATAGCTGGTAGAGGGGAACACGGCTGTAATACATAGCTGGTAATGGGGAACACAGCTGTAATACATAGCTGGTAGAGGGGAACACGGCTGTAATACATAGCTGGTAGAGGGGAACACGGCTGTAATAGATAGCTGGTAGAGGGGAACACGGCTGTAATACATAGCTGGTAGAGGGGAACACGGCTGTAATACATAGCTGGTAGAGGGGAACACGGCTGTAATAGATAGCTGGTAGAGGGGAACACGGCTGTAATACATAGCTGGTAGAGGGGAACACGGCTGTAATAGATAGCTGGTAGAGGGGAACACGGCTGTAATACATAGCTTGTAGAGGGGAACACGGCTGTAATAGATAGCTGGTAGAGGGGAACACGGCTGTAATACATAGCTGGTAGAGGGGAACACGGCTGTAATTCATAGCTGGTAGAGGGGAACACGGCTGTAATACATAGCTGGGAGAGGGGAACACGGCTGTAATACATAGCTGGTAGAGGGGAACACGGCTGTAATACATAGCTGGGAGAGGGGAACACGGCTGTAATACATAGCTGGTAGAGGGGAACACGGCTGTAATACATAGCTGGGAGAGGGGAACACGGCTGTAATTCATAGCTGGTAGAGGGGAACACGGCTGTAATACATAGCTGGTAGAGGGGAACACGGCTGTAATAGATAGCTGGTAGAGGGGAACACGGCTGTAATACATAGCTGGTAGAGGGGAACACGGCTGTAATACATAGCTGGTAGAGGGGAACACGGCTGTAATACATAGCTGGTAGAGGGGAACACGGCTGTAATACATAGCTGGGAGAGGGGAACACGGCTGTAATAGATAGCTGGTAGAGGGGAACACGGTTGTAATAGATAGCTGGTAACTTCACAATGAAATTAAGTTATTTCGCCTCTCAGCGAGCAATTGGCAATGACCAAATTTAATTCTACTGGACATTCTAGCCAGCATACCGTTCATTTCATTGGGCTTTTGTTGGTTGAAATGAGTTACAAATTGAAAACGCGGTAAAAAATGTAATCTGAAGTGTCATTTCTATCATCATATTTTATTGGGCCTAGTGAAGTTACAATAGCTCAGCCAATCAAATACTTCTCCGGAAATGGTCACTGGGTTTAACTGCTCTTATACAAGTGAATTATGGGCTTTTCTTTACGTCTGGTGTCGGTTGGTGGGGATGGGTGGCGGGGGAACCTCATTGTCTTTTTTTATTTCTTGCGTCTGTTTGTAAGAGTATATGGTGTTTGGAATTATTTTTTTTGAGAAATGTATGTGCATATATATATATATATATATATATATATATATATATATATATATATATATATATATATATATATATATATATATATATATATATATATATATATATCTGTGTGAGTGTGTGTGTATGCACAAAGAATTGTACGTTTTATTTTTCGCCTACTTCTACAATCTCTTTCTGTATCCTTCTCTCCAGTTCTGATGTATCCGCGATCTTAAGCTCCAACTAATCATTGATAGATAACATCACTAATTAGGTATCGAACTGGTCAGACCGGAAGGACTTAAGAGCTTCTGGGCCCAGGCGTGACGTCATTATCGACTTTTTGCCGTGTTTGATTTCTTTAAAAAATACAACTCTAGGACTATCAGATTGGTGCCCCTGGGGTGGGGATAGGTGGTTTTTATAGCCGGTGTTGGTGGAGACTTGGGCTCATTAAAGCAGCCAGAAGGTTCATGTTAGACCACATACCAGAAAAGTCATGTTAGACCACATACCAGAAAGGTTATGTAGGACCACATACCAGAAAGGTCTTATTAGACCACATACCAGAAAGGTCATGTAGGACCACATACTAGGAAGGTCATGTAGGACCACATACTAGAAAGGTCTTGTTAGACCACATGGCAGAAAGGTCATGTTAGACCACACCACATACTAGAAAGGTCATGTAGGACCACATACCAGTTAGGTCATGTTAGACCACATACAAGAAATGTCTTGTTAGACCACATAGCAGACAGGTCTTGTTAGACAACATACCAGACAGGTCTTGTTAGACCACATACCAGACCTGTAAGACCACATGGCAGAAAAGCTACAATTAGACATGTAAACACATGGTTAAAAAAAGCAACAAGATGGCGGCCGTGTAAGAGATTGATTAGATTGCGGCAGTACACAAACACACGTGGCTACTCAACGTCGTCTCAAGCTATGAGCACACGCGGCGTAGCTACAAACATGTTCTGTAGAACATACTACAAACATGTTCTGTAGAACATACTACAAACATGTTCTGTAGAACATACTACAAACATGTCCTGTAGAGCATAGTACAAACATGTTCTGTAGAACATACTACAAACATGTCCTGTAGAGCATAGTACAAACATGTTCTGTAGAACATACTAC